AAATTTAACAAATAATAATATTTCTATATAAATCATGATTTGCTTCTGACAAAATCTATATCTAAGCAAGCGGCACGTAACAAATAAAATCATGGGTAGTATGCCTCGAACTTCGATAATACTATAATTAAAATCACTTCATCATAAATCATCAATTAAGATCGACATATAATATATATATATATATATATATATATATATATATATATATAATAATATACTATAGAATGTGTGCATAAATTCTCGTAGCTTTGTTAAAGTGAGAGTATAATAAGTTTATGTTTGCCAAATTTCAAATTCATCAAAACAATGGTGATATAATATATAATATACTAAAATATGTATTAATAATTAATTATAAAATTAATTAATAATTGGTTATTATGGAAGATTTCTATAGACTACTGGGAACAACAAATCATACTAACAAATATTTCAGAGTCAAAAGTTCGATTGCGCTTATATACATGCTTATTTAAAAGATTATTTTGCGCATACCATTGGTGAACCATTAATTTGTATTTTAATAGTATTCATAAACTGAGGTACATAATTTAAACTATTTACACTAACTATTTACAACTAAAATTAAATAATAAATTCTTTAAATTAACGCTTTTTTAGTTTCTGCTAGCTGTTTTATTGCTACTTTGAATATAGAATTGCAAATTGTTAACAAAAATAAATAATGTATCATGGATATAAATTCATAAAAAAATAATAATAAAATAATAATTTTGAATATCAGATACATATTTTTCCGCCAAATGTGCTGTCAAATTATTTCTACATAACTTCATGCCAGTATGCATTTATCAAACAACATTCAACAGAAGCCATTATGAAAAAACTCGTTTAACGCACATATTTTATTTTATTGTAAATTATACAAAATAATAATGACAGCATGACTGGAAATGTAAAATCAAATATCATAAAAAGTCTTCGTTCGAAGCTGAGAACAATGAGAATAATGTGCATGAAACTATTTGGGGGCAACTAGTAGTTATACGACGACTTCACAAAAATTTGGTATTTTGTTAAGATGATTTACAATTGTTTGCATGCTTGTTGGTTTTCTCCAATATCAATTGTTTTATATCGTAGATCTTTCTAAATTGGAGTATGCAGTTGGCAGAGAAAATTGTGACATAAATTTGACTACAGACGAAATGTCTGTTGAACACCTACAATTTATATCTAGGACACATTTTAAACTTAAACGAGAGACAGTTGGAATTCTCCTGTTTATTTAGAAGTGAGTTGTTAAGAATATTAGCTGAGTAACAAATGTACTCTTGTATGCCATTAAATTTTCTGCGTAAAGGTAAATGTCTGCAAATTTTGATTCACAAACCATTTCAAATTCTTCGAATCATCATAAAAAGTTTATATCATTGGTAGTTTCAATGTTGATGAAATTTTGAGTTTTTTCTTTGATATCTCGTTCCTATTATCATCAATTGAATATATTGATATCACTTATGCATTAATATTCATGAGATGTTATATTTTGTATAAAATGCGAATAAAGTTAACATACATCTTGATAATATTATTAGAATTGGAAGTTGTTTAGAAGGAGAAAATTATTTTGATTTCCTCTTTCTGATATAACATAATTTATTTTTAATATCATGTTTCAATTTATAATAATAGTAATAAATAGCCTATTATAATTGATAATAATTACTTTTCACGGTGTGTCTTTTTTGTGACAGATATTACATTGTTTTCATGCAGTTGATAGAAGATATTATGTATAAAACTTTAATAAATAAAGTTTTTCATTTGAGTGCATTTCAGGATTTTTCTCGAAATGGAACATTCATAATGGTGAAAAAGTTGCAAAGGAAACCAAAGATATTGCAAAATGAAGATGTTATGCCAATAGGTAGTAAGTTATGTTATTAAAATGTAATTTTTTAGTTTTTGGTTTTCCATACATGTGTATTTAGCTTTGTCCATTGTATAAACATGACTTACTTTGTTATAATTGTTCTATTATTATTTATAGTGTTTAGATTTTTGATCGTTTCACACATACTGTGGATAAAATCCCAAAGCTCATCAAAGATGACTACTACATTTCCCGTGAGCTTGGAAGCGGTGCATGTGGTGTTGTGAGATTAATATTTAACAAAAGGACATGTGATAAATTTGCTATGAAAGCAGATCATCAAGAGTAAAGCAGATGATGAAAAGAAATTAAATCATCCTAATCGTATTATGAATGAAATTAATATTATGAAAAAATTAGATCATGTGAGTAAATTGTTAAATTTGAATTAGTAAGAAGATGAGTAAACATTCAAAAATTCATTCATTAATATTTGATTTATAATTTTGATTTCACTGATTTCTTGTAATGAAATAAGTAAAACAGCAATTTTCAATGCTTTAATTTGAGGAATTATATGTTGATATAATTTTAGTGGCAAACGTGTTAAATTACAATACTTCAAAACCACACATAGATAATTCTTCTAAGTATGCTTTAATGTTTTATTTTTCATTATTTAGTATAACTGTGACCCAATTCATGATGTGGAATTTTCTACCTTTCACATTAATTTCTAATAAATTTAATGTGAAATTCCTTGAACTAATTAATATTTATATAGTACTCGAATCTGGTTGAATCTGGTAAAGTTATAATTTATTTTACTTACTTATAATATATTTTTTAGCCCTTCATAGTTAGTGTCTACAACATTGTTGAAACTCCTGAAGCAGTATTTTTGATATTGGAGCTTATGAATGGAGGTGATTTATATAATAAAATTAAAGAGTCGAAATATCTGAAAGAACCAATAGTTAAGAATATTATATACCAACTAGCTGTTGCTGTTAATTACTTACATCGACAGAACATCACACATAGAGATTTAAAAGTATTAAATTGAATATCTTAGCTGATATAATAATTTATATAATAGCTATATTAATATCTTATTTCATTTTAGCCTGAGAATATTCTGTTACAAAGCAATAGTGATGATTCAATAGTCAAACTATCAGATTTTGGCTTAAGTAAAATTGTTGAAGGTAACACAGTGTTACAAACTGAATGTGGTACTGCATGGTATGTTGCACCCGAAGTGATATTAAAGAATTATAAAACTTATACTGAAAAAGTTGATGTTTGGAGTCTCGGTGTAATATATATGTTTGGTATGTATTTATGTAGGCAAAAGATTGATATATTTTTTTTATAAATTTATCATTAATTCTATTTGAGTGGGAGTTTTTTTTCAATACTTCTGACAATATGACAATAATTTTATCTTTGCAAATAATAACTGACCATATAATATATTTGTCTTTCAGTCTTTGTGGATGCTTACCCTTCTCAGCAGCTGATCAAATTTGCAAAGGAAAATATTCTTTCAAACAAAGTATTTGGTCTTCGGTTAGTGCTGAATGCAAGGATTTAATTTCTAAAATGTTACAAGTAGATCCAAAAACTAGATATAGCAGTTCCGAAGTTCTTAATCATAAATGGTTACAGGTTAGATATGAATCATTTATTATATTGTTCATCAATGCAACTGGTATGCCAATTGTATTTAGAAATATTAGTGACATTACTAGATTAACAAACTATATTATTTGTTGTTAGTGATTTGCTTTGCACAAAATGAAGTATTTGCATTTTTTATATTTTACTTAAATTTTATGGCATATTAATAATGTTTATATATTTTTATATAGGATCCTGATGTTATTAAGCGTTATAATGATTTATTAAATCAGGAAAATGAAAAACAAGAAATTACTGTTTCTGATTTGGAAGATTCAATAAATGAACATTATAATAATTCTTGTCCTGAAAATTGTCTAGATATAATAGAACCACCTGCCAAACGTCATCGAAGTCTACTTATTTTTTAGCGATTCAAAAGTTTGATTTGTTATCAGTATTAAAAAGAACAAAATGTACATGCTACATACAAAGGTACTTCTATGCTCTAAGTAATAAAATGACATAAAAAATTACATTTAAAATATGAAATATTTTTATAAATAATAGTGAATAATACTTTTGATAATTGCACCCTGAGAAAAAAAAGCATACATTATGATAATATTTTCTTCTTTAAACACAGTAAATTCTGCAAATCAAATCAAATTAATTGTTCGGCCATGTCATGTGTATGCTTATTTTAAAACTAAGTTTCTTTACCAAAATTTTATCTTTCAATTTTAATTAATTTTTCAGATATTCATATTTTATAATATTTATTGCAAACAATATAATTTATCTAGCTTTTTCTGTTTGCATGCTAAGAGCATAGAAGTATTGTTAGCATTTGTTTATTTTGGGTTTAACTCATAGTTTTAAGTTGAGAACATGTACCTGATTTTGATTATAATATGTTGCATGTTACCTCAGTTGTGCTCCACAATGAAATGTACCTAATAATTTAAGAATGTTATGAATTGAGTTACTTTATCAGAATATATTTTTTATTATTGATGAATAATTACACATTTGTTTTAATTTGGAATGTATAGTATACTGTAGGTGTAAAAGTGTTTAATATCATTCTTACATACAACTAAAAACTTTTGTGAACTTCTTTGTGCAAAATTATATATTGAAGTACTTCAACCAAAGCCTCCGGAGCATAATTCAAATCCAAAAATTTGAGAATAATTCTGTGAAAATAGTTAAAACATAAGGTTGAAATAATGTATTATTTTTATATTGCACACTTTAATATACCTAAGTAGAGTTGGGTTTAATTTTACTCCAGCTAAGTTGGAAAGAGTCAAATATTCACTTTCTGGAATCATTTTTTTTTACTTCAATTCAATATAATATTCTACTTCAATAAGAATTACACCATGAAAAATGCGAAAAGACCTCTCAGTTTAATCCAAAACTTAAAGTTGCTTCCAATTTATAATGTATTGCCAATTGTTTTAAGACTTTGTACAAAACCGCTTCTAACGATGTGTTTAAATAAATAATTCATTTGCTTCGTAACGTCAAAATGTGTCAATTTTTTGTTTAGAGTGAAGTTGGTTGATATAGTCATGTTGCACAACACTAGAATAATTATTTTCGTTTTGTTGGTGATTCTGTAAAAATTTCAGACGAAACTTCATTTGACGCCGCCAACGCGCCAACTTGCTCATTTTCAAAAGTTTTGACAACGGATCTCCTAATCCAAAAAAATACTTCAATATTTTTCTGTGCTGCTGTTCTCATAGGTTTGTTTGCAGATTACCCTAATGAGAAATTTGAAAGATATGATACGTATATAAAGTGAACAAAAAATCAGAGATATGTTTACTTATCTATGGATATGTATTTTGAAAATGCCACGTCCACCGTGATAAACCAAGCTTACCACACCATCACGATAGAAAATAATCTGCTGAAAATCGACGTGTTGACACTTTGGAATTTTCACTGATGTTTCGATGTCTGTAGACTTAAATTACACAATTGAAAATGCTAAAATGTGATATTATTATACGATAATAATACGTTCTTAGGCCGAAATGAAATTGGTTCACAAAAATGTGGAAAAAAATGGAGAAGGGTCAGTTAAAATAAAATATTTTGTTATTTCTTATGATTACCAGAGGTTATGTTTTTAATTACTTTTTTAGGAGTGTTTCCCTTATTCCCGAAGAATCGGAGGATATGTGGCATGCTTTTAATTTAATATCTGAAGGCGACTCCGTTCGAGCATCAACGATAAGAAAGGTATGATAAAAATATTTTTGATAATAATTACTACATTTTTTTCAATATTACTCCAGTTTGTTTACCGCTTTACCCATCTTATTTTTTTTTGAAATATCTTAGGAATCGTATAACATGGAGCCTTCATTGTTGTTTATAATCTTGCACTGATTATATCATTTATATTTGTCATTTATAATATCTTTCGTGTTTTGTTCTGTGCTAAATTTTCAGTTTCATCAATTCGCATAGTCTCTATCTTTTGAGAAAAAACTTTAAATGCAGTTTTCCAAAGTATATTTATATAAAAGATATTATAATACTCATTTTCTTTATCTAATATTATTCACTAATAACATATGTTACTTCTATATATGGCTTTCTGTAATTTTATATGAATTATTGCATGACAAAAATCAAAAATATCTTAATAATGCTACTTTATGCCGACTGTATATGTATAAATGGCCAATTAAATTATGTAACAAAATTTTAATTTATTAAAATTTCTTTGAACATACAAAACATATTCATAGTTTTAGCAAAACAACTAAACCATTACTTATATTTATATTGCAGGTTCAGAATGAATCCGCAACAGGTTCTTCCACCAGCAACAGAGTTCGCACGATTTTAACAATTAGAGTAGAAAATATAGATTTTGATACTCAAGCTTGCATGCTGCGACTTAAAGGTCGAAACATTGAAGAAAATCAATATGTCAAGGTAAGAACCTGTTAATATGATATACATAAATGTTAAAATATAATAGTATACTTAATTTAATAAAATTTCTACAACCATGTGAATAATTAAATTTTATAAGAGTGAGTTTCAAAGTAGTTAATATATTTTCTATATATTTACAATTTACAATTACTTTTTAATGATTAATCAAATTATGATTTCATTGGCTAAGCAAACTATAGAATATTTTGCAAATCAAATTTATAGTGAATAGTACCTTTTTATAACTAGCAACTTCTACTCTCATTTATGAAAAACAATTAGAATTATTTTAAGGAATAGACAGTATTTTTTAAAAATGATTCAATACATCAACAGTTCTATTAAACAAATCAAAAACCATATTATATTTGATAATGTTAAAATTACATAATAGTGAGGTTTAAAAATATTTTAAAAAGGTGCCTTACTCCTTAAGACCTGATTAAGTAAAATATATTTAACTTTATTCAAAAATGTTTATGTATTAGCATTGCAACTACATGTTGCAAATATGTACATAAAATGGCAAAGCTATAAAATGATATTTTTTTTGTAGATGGGTGCTTATCATACTTTAGATTTAGAACTAAATCGAAAATTTTCACTTCATAAACAATTATGGGATTCAGTTGCATTAGAACGTGTGGATTGTGCGTGTGATATAACACAAACAGCCGATGTTGCAGCTGTGGTTATGCAGGAAGGATTAGCACATGTTTGTTTAATTACATCAAGTATGACTCTTATAAGAAGCAAAATTGACCAAAATATACCTCGAAAAAGAAAAGGCTTTGTGTCGCAACATGAAACGGTAAATACTTTATAATAAAGAATATAATATAATTGCTTAATTATAAATTCAAAAATAAAATTACTGCAAATTTAAACAGGAATGTGTGACTGCATTCACCTTGTTTTGGTTATTATTGTTCAATAAATCAATAAAGCCACATTTTTAGCATAAAATAAAATTATGTATATAATATCTTATAGAATGTTTTAAATTGTGTTTGATTTTTTTTTTTAATACAATAGTTATTATAATGTTTTAACTTTATATCAGTAGCCAATCGTGATAAAAATCAGATATCACTGTCAATGTAGGTACTATTTATTAATGAAGCTCTCTAAAATATTGATTTCTTTATTTCAGGGTTTAGCAAAGTTCTATGAATCAGTTATGCAAGCTATTTTACGTCATGTGAATTTTGAAATTGTGAAATGTATCTTGATAGCATCTCCTGGATTTGTGAAAGAGCAGTTCTTTGATTATATGTTCCAGAAAGCTGTCAAATCTGACATCAAAGTATTATTGGAAAATAAATCAAAGTTTATGTTAATTCATGCTTCTTCAGGATTTAAACATTCTCTTAAAGGTAATTCAATTTTTTTTTAACAATTAAAACACTATATAGACTTTTCTAACCCAACTGTACTACAATTCGAACAAAATTTATTTATTGAAGAATTATAGAAGTATCATCTTTAACTATTTATAACAATAAGACAATAAACTATGAATATTACATTGGATATAATAAATTTAAATATATGAATAATAAATATTAATCAAAACGATTATATTAAATATTGTAATTTTATTAGTTACACCTAAATCAATATACAACCAACTAAACATGATAGCATTTTGTTTCAAAGGTTTTAACAGCGTTTGAAGTAGAATAGATTATTTGATCTAAGGATAAATGACGAATTGATATCATAAGAAAAGTATGAAAATGTTTACATTTAAAAACAGTAAAGTTTTATAAAATTGAAATTATAAACAAATATTAGATTAAACATTTATAACGTTCTTAAAAATATGCAAGAAAGTACTAACAAAATTTACTTTAAGGCACATGCCAAAACAATTATTTTGAGCATTTTGATTTTTGTACTAACATATTTCTTCTTTTTTTTTAGAAGTACTTCAAGACCCTTCTGTTTTATCTAGAATTTCAGACACAAAAGCTTCAAGTGAAGTCAGGGCTTTAGAGAGTTTTTATACCATGTTGCAATGTGAACCTGATAAAGCATTTTATGGTAAAAAAGATGTGCTTAGAGCTGCTGAAGCTCAGGCTATTGAAACCCTTATGATATCTGATAATTTGTTCAGGTAATTAAATTAATAATAATGTTATCATTGTCATTATCATAGTGGGTGTTCTAGACTGGAAGTTTTAAGAAATCGATTTTGTTTATATTTTTAAAGTGCAACTATTCACAAATATGCGTAGAGAAGATTTTACAAAATATAAATTGATTTTGAAGGTGTAGCTGTTTGAGCACAATAATTCTCTTCTGTTTTAATTAAACAATACCTCAATTTTCTCAACTTCTAAAGGAATTTGTGATTTTTTTTGACAACTTATCTGTTGTTCATATAAATGCGACTACATTCTAGATTAATAATCATTTCTTCATTAGATTATTTGGAGGGCTAAAATCAGGGGTATATCAATGCCCCAATTTTCGGAGACCCTCCACTTGATCACCGGTTAAAATTAAAGCTTTTTAACTGTTTTTCATTTTCAATTCTTTTCTGCATTCTTCAAACATTAACTAATATCTTATAAAAGAAATTCTTTATCGACTTTCGAACATTACATAAAATGTATGCCTCCAGACTAAAATTCCTGCCCTAAATAATTTATATGTACTGATGCTAATCATTTGTTAACATTGTTTTATTTAAGCTTTAATTAATGAAGAAGAAATCATCAATCATAAGATGAAGTAGGTTTTCAAACTAAATCTGATGAACAAAGGAGAGTTCAAAGACATATGTTAATAATAAGATTAATTATTACTAACATTTGAACTTATTACATTAATAATTAGTACATTATTAAGTACAATATTAATTAGTAAATGCATATGTTATTCATTGCAAAATATTTATTTTTTGTTTGTTACATCGCGCGCGTCTTTATAACCGTCTTTATATTTCTTAAGAACAAACAGAATTTTGATGGATTGTGAGAAAACACATTATTAAATCATCTATTGCAGCCATCAGTTTTCAGTATTTGTATTACATTTATAGATGCCAAGACGTAGCAGCCAGGAAGCTGTATGTCGGCCTTGTTGATAATGTTCGCGACTTTGGCGGAGAAGTCAAAATATTTTCAAGCATGCATGTTTCTGGTGAACGTATGTATCAAAAATAATATTAATTTTATATAATTTTTATTTTATAATTTTTAATTTACAGTTCTTTTATGATTTATAATAACATGTTGTTACATAACTAATAATATATACTTTTATAGAATTAGATCAATTGACTGGTGTAGCAGCAATTTTGAGATTTCCTATGCCTGAACTAGAAGATTCTGAAGATGACGACAATGAATCGGATAAACGGTGATTCATACAAGAAATATACATAGTTATATTTGTATGTAATTGTACATAGAGATTATTTATTTTTACTTTACTTTAAAACTAATAATTAATACATTTATATTAAATGTGTTTCATTGATAACAATTTTTTCCAGTGTCATTTTTATTTGAAATGTTATCAGTGCTTTTGGTGCCTAATTTTTAGCTGCCTTATTTTTATTTTGAAATTCTCTGAGCTCATCTAATAAAATTATAAACACATATAATTTAAATTGAGCAACAAATATGATTTAAATATTTACCTTAAGAATTTGACGGCTTTATTATTAGATTGGTGTTAAAATTTTCTCTAGTGATTCAAAATAGATTTTGGTTTCTGTTCTTCATAAAGATAAATGCATTCAGAAAATTGAAATATGCCGGTTAAAGCTTGAGGTAAGTAGTTAAATTTTTATGCAATATATTTTGGTGATGTATTAATGATTATTATACTTTGATATTATTTATTATAACTTTAATTGTGTAGTTACAGCTTATTTGCCGACTATTGATTAATGCATTGAGACAAATCTATAAAAAAATTATCTATAAACTGTATTTAGTAAGGTCCTTTTTCTATCTCTTAGGGGCTTATAGGAATGCTGGTATACACTTGATAATCTCCAATAATCTGGATAGCCATTCTCTGCTCCCTTCCACAAAGAAAAAGGCGGTGATAGGGATAATATTGTGTAAGATCTGCAACATATGAATGTTAGGACAAAAAATCAAATTAAGGATATAATAGATAGGATATTCAAATAGGAATTTTGGCAACTTTTTCTGATGAAAAATGAAAAGATTTTTTGATAATCAAGTTGATTGAAAGCGGTAAGTGTTAATTATTATTGGTTCTATAATTTTATTTTTTTTTGCAATAGTATACAAATTTTCAGCTATTCTATCTTAGCTTTAAAAAAAATATAGTCAACCAAACATATTTATTTATATTAATTTTATATTATAGAATTATGAGTATCTTTCAATATCCAAATAATAGAATAGAAAGCTGAAAATTGGTATATTTGATTTTTTCTTTGGCGTCTGTATCGTTTATATATCGGAGTGGGACCGATTATGTTTAAATAGTAGTAATTGAATTACTACCATTCCATAATTATTAGTATTTTCGTTTTTTCGATTTTTTTTTGAAGAACGACTGAAGAAATGTTAGGCTGCATTAACTTTAATGCAGTAACGAACCTTTTTCGATGAAAAATCGGACGAGTTTTATTTTCGATGAGAGAGGGGCTATAAATATTTTTGAAATAGAAAATTGTGTTATCGGGAGAGGGAAAATTGTGTTATTGGGGAATACAAAGTTTCATTTGTATTCATTTAAATAAGCCAGCAGTTTTATAACTTTTCCCCGAAATCGTAGTTGTTTACAACGATAAGAAGTAAGAAATCTGCTTAATGAGTTAAGTTCGAAATTAATAAATAGTGTTTAAAAGAAACTGAAACGACACAAATAACGTTTAATTTAAAAAAAAGTTAATCAAGTGGACCTATACATTTAGAAGTAGATATTTTTTTCTGAATTTGATTCTGAACTTGAAGGATCAGGTTTTTGAAACCCTTTCAGTACTGAAAATTGACGCTAAGATGCCTGACTAATAAGACCCTTTTCGAGCTTGAAAGAATATATATGTAGGATACGTGTTTCGAACTTTTAATATTACATTACCTTTTGGCGAATGGTTCCTTAGGCTTAGGAACCTTGATCTGTACTCGTTCAGATTTCGAAGAAGCGCTGCTGTTGGTTGAATTCGAATTTACGGACGATGGGACGCCAGCTTTAAAAGCTTGTTTATATTCAGATTGAGGTTTTATCAAGAATTTTGGCGGCTTTTTAGCCTTAATCTCGCACGCGACGCAGGAGTTGCATCTGGACTGAAACATAGGCGCATGATTAGGTGAACACAAATATTTTCGAAACATTTAAATAGAACAGTGAAGTGTAATCCATATACTACTAATACATAATACATACATAATACTACTCAATACAATTTCGAGGAAATTATGTGTTATAATGTATATAAGAATGCACAAAATTACCAAAATTGATCATTATTCGTAATTCGCATAAGGCCTGACTGGCTTTTTGCAACAAAGTGCTTTCTCAGTGCAAAACTATTTTTGTGAACCCATCAAATTTTTTAATCTGATTTTGAGTACATGGTGGACGCAAACACATATGACTGCATACATACATACATACGAGGTGTGTTCAAAAAGTACCCGGAATTACTAATAATTAAATTTCGCGGGTCTGGAGTGTCTGATTGTCAAAATTTTTTTTTTATTGTGTTGGTATACATGCCCCTAAAGTATGATGAAATTTTCAGCTATATTCACTGTTTACTTTGTCTGTGGTAGTCGCTAAGGTTCGACGTGTTTTTCTGAGCTCGGCGATTTTTACAATGGAAGAATTGAAAAGTCAAAGAATTTGTATTAAATTTTGCGTAAAAAATGAAATAAAGTGTTGCAAAGTGCAAAAATTCACCAGATATGGCTCCGTGTGACTTTTTCCTATTCCCAAAGTTGAAGAGACCCATGAAAGGACGGCGGTTTTCCTCGATTGAAGAAAATCGCTGAGAGTGCTCAAGGACATATCAAAAAGTGAATATCAAGGGTGCTTCGAAAATTGGAAAAACGCTGGCATAAGTGTATTATATCTGGGGGGGACTACTTTGAAGGGGACCACATTAATGTAGACGAATAAATAAATATTTTTTTGAAAAAACGAAAATTCCGGGTACTTTTTGAACAGACCTCGTACATACATATTGCCATATTTCATTTTTTCTACGTTTTGCTAAAATGATCTGATGAAGTCTATCTAGCTTTCATTTTATTGTTGTTATAATCGGGTTGTTTAAAAAGCTTTGCACATAGTATTCTAAATAAACAAATTATTTTCATCGCTGGATAATTATCAATTCATGCTCAAATATAAATTATCCTAAATACTATTTAAAAATGTTTGATAATTTTGCGGTGATAAAAATAATTTGTTTACTAGAATACTATGTACAAAGCCTTTTAAACTATGCGAACATAATGTTATTAGAAAATTTCAGTAGGATTCCGTAATCTCCAAAACTTAAAAAAAAAACTACTGGTGTATGGCATCGTGCCTATAAGGTAAATTGCTGAAACTTCCCGCAGGTTAACGAAATGTTCGAGGAATATTAAATGTTTTCAAATAGATTATTGAAAATAATGCTACATTGTCTAATATTTTTTCCAAAAGCAATTATTTTGTCAAAACAAGCAGATAGTTATTTGAATCATTCAAATCGGATGCTCAATTCTCTCAAAAACTGCAATTTTTTGTACATTTAGCTCCGTATCTTGGAAACGGCTGGACCTGCGTTTGCCCAAATCTAATCACCACTTCCCCCATCATTACGAATTAAATGCTTTGGAACCGTTCAAATCGGTTGATCCGTGCGCCCAAAAACGTGGACGAAAAATGCGGACATACAAAACTCACACACACACATTCATTTTTTCTGAGGTATGCCAAAATGTTTAGAAACCTTCAAAACGTGAAGATATGCAAAAATTTTCATTTTCGATTTTGGGCCCATTACTATATTTACTCTACGGAAAGTTAAAATATTCAACATAAACTCATGTTGAATCAATTAACATGAACACTGTTAGATGTTTGTCCTCAATTTAAATATCCTGATTTGAAAAACATAAAAAAACATCTTCAGAAAAATACTTGAACTGTTTTACCTGTTATTTTTCGTATTATCTTTACTACTTGACATCTTTCTATTTAATAAACTAGAAGTAGTTGAAGTATTCTTGTCTTGTACTTCAATTACAGGCATCATCATGAGTACTGGTGGCGCCGAATTCACAGTATTCTTCGATCTACAATAATGGAACATGTGATTATGTAATATATAACTATACAAAATCTTATTTTTTTATTACCTCGATTTATGGGCATTCACTTGCCTAGGAAGATCGTATTTGATATCGGATTTACATTTCATACACAATTCTTTCGAATCTAAAAGCTGCTGACGAACCATATCTCTTTCAAAATAACTTGCTCTGTAGATAAAAAAGGTACACATGTATGTCGTATTACTGATTTTATGTCATATCTACTTAATTAATGGCAATATTAAACATTTTTTGAGATTTTATTGAAATAAATGTACGTATTTATTTTATAATGAAATAATCTAGTTGCTATCTTTTCCGTGCACGAACTGATTTTAAAGGCCCATATGTAATCCAATTTTTTTTTTTATTATTTAGGATTATTTTGTCTTTAAGCGTTTAAAACAAACGAAAAAATGTAATTCATTAAATGTCTTTGGCGGAAAAAATGTTAAGTTAATTATAAATTAGCGCAAATGCGAAATAGCAAAGCCTAAATTTTATTGAAACTATTGCAAGCAAGATCAGAAATGTAGTCGACATAAATGATCTAATGACTTTTCTCCTATTTGTGCGAATAATATTCTGTTTTTTTTTATCTATCATTATAAATTATAATGTATTCACAGCATGCAATTCTTGTTATATATATTATAGTATGCAACGCAAATAACCTATAATTTTCTGTATGAGGTTCTCTTGTCTGAAAAAGAGCTTCACTCCTAGGGCGAACATTGCTAATATTTGGAGTACTGGAAAACGGCCTTTCTTGTGGGTTTCTGGTGTCATCATCTCTTTTTGGAACCAATGTAAAAACAGCTGGTGCCTTTGAATAAATTTGTGAAAGGGTTAACAGTATATTTTGTTAGATTTTATAATGATATTAATATAAATTCACCTGAGAGCCATTCGAACCATCTATATGCGTGGGTCTTTTGGGTTCATTTTTTGCAAACCTAGGCCTAAAATCCCAACTTATCGCCAAATCCATAGCAGTTAAATCTTCTTTACCCGGTGTTAAAATTAATGGTTTTTCTTTTTCTTCTATAAATTAAACCGCAATTTATAGTTCTTGATTTAGGAATTAGCAGTTCAGAAAAATTACAATTTATTTAA